AATATTCAACTTAAGAAGTAGGAAGCAAATCACATATTGTTTACAGTTATATATGACATTCACAGCATGAAGACATTTATGTCTAAACAATATCTCAGTATATAATAAATAAGGGACACTTTAGAACATTTCAGCAACAAACGTTACAATGTTCCTAAAATATTACTGAAATGTCTCAAAATATTTCTTGATTACGGGTGAAATTTTTTCAATAAAGTTTCTTGAGAAATAATTTATCTGCTCCTTTTGTTATTACGTTTTTTTCCTCGAATTATTGCCATTCATAAAATAAGACATTAAGGAATAAATCCCAATATTTTAATAACATCTAAAAATCATTATCGACCTTAATGAACAAAATTTTTCATATACTTTATTATCTCATAATATATTTTTTACCTATCACATTATCTCTCTCATATGTAATATTTTTAGAAATTCGTTATATACGATATTTTAAATAATAAGTAGGTATAAAATTATACAAAAATTCAGAAGAATCCTGAAATTTAAATTTAAAAAATTCTAAAAAATTATATAGTAATTTTAAAAAATTTCACCAGAGAAAAATAATATGAACATGTTCGAACAATGTTGTTCGAAACATGAAAATAATTAAAGATCGGGCGATCTTTATGTGTTATTTGCCAAGTAAACAGAAAGAACGAACTCGATTGAATGTACCATGTTGTTACCTACCTTTCGAAGATAAAATAGGAATATTCGCAGACAGAAAGATTGATAAAATATACTTTTTTGATAAATCTAGAATAATGAGAATGAGAAAATCAAAGGAATCTATATAGACGCAAGATATCAGAGAATATAAAAAATTGCTGGCTTTTTCAAAATCATCAAAGTTAATAAAAAAAAATTCGAAGAGAAATGAAGATTTATGCATGGTTTACAAAGAGCAATAGCAGCATTGGAACTAGTGGATTAAAGGTAATTTCTCATGCTGACGCTCGACGCTCATTTTTAATGTCAAAGCAGATCACGTGAAAATTGACCAATATTAAGCATCAGTTTCGATCATGTAATCTACACGTTTTACTGATACGTTACACGTAACTTTGTGTTTGCTGGGAAGAGAAAGAAAATAAACGGAATCACAGACTGCTGATTAATATCTATATTGATATTTACTGTAATTATCGAATCATTCTACTATTGTATCCATATTGAAGAAGATAAAAAACAATATATGCAATCAATTGCATGTGGACTATAATATCGACAGCATATAATATTGAGATTATGTGCAACTTTCATTCCGCAAATTAACTAATAATAATGAAATTAGCGAAAATAGCGGAACGACTGTGATTCATCGTGTTGACATCGCGATTTTTCGTTGTTAATTTCCGCTCTAGGGATATATCGAGTGAGAAATAGTGGAACAGTACAGAACGGAAAAGACAAATGATGGGGATAAATCAATCAAAACAATTCCGTTACATTATTTCGAAGCTAGGTTTCACACGATGAGAAATTTACGGAACGGAATAACATCGATCGTCACATCAATTCGTTAGCATGGTCATTATAATATATCTACAAAAAATTTGATATTTTAACAATTTATATTTTTTTTTTATTACAGAAGAAACAATTAAAATGTAGTTATTACGGTTAGTGTTTAAACGAGCACCAATTATTATAGGTCATTACTTTACGCTTTTTACTTTATGCTTCATGATTTCAATTTTTGTCACACCACTTTTTTGAGAAAATTTCTAGACTTCCTGTAGCAATCTTTCAAATAATTTCAACATTTATCCACTTCTGTAAGTGTATATAATTCCATAATAACATACAGTTTTTAATTAGAAATATAACGAATATGATTCACTTACAAATTGATTTTAAATTTCTTTCTTTAAAATTATACAACATGATTTTAAAGTAATTCCATTTAATTTTTCGGAAAAAAATCAAACAAGAAGTTATTTAAAATCTAACAAAGTCGATAAAGTAACATTGCCGCGAAAAAGCGCGCGAACTCCGTGATCATTATGTATCTTTTAAATATACACTGACTTCTCATTATAAAGAGTCCTTTTGTTTTCTTCATCTTTCTTTCAGAGATAGAAGAAAATTATAAAGTGCAGGACTGCTTTTTACTGCTGCTGTCAAGTCTTCGTCTAATTGTTCTTTATTAATATAACAACTATAGAGTTTCAGTCTCATTTTCTGTAATAATTAAAACATTTATTAATAATAAAATAAAAAACCAAGGTTGATTGTGCAAGAAAAGATTCAGTATCAACTTCACGAAACAAACCGGTATTCATTCTTTAATTCTTAAGGGTGTCTTAAGATGTCATAAGTTAATCTGACTGTACTAGCATCTTAAGACATTATTTAAGACAGTTTTAAAATAAAAATGGATTGTGAATACGCCTCATATTTCGCGTTTCACAGTTGATTGCTCTTCTGCACTATCTCGACGACGAGGAACAAAAGTAGGCGTGGTATGGCCGAATTGCATACACCATGTAATCCTTTCATTATGGCCTCATGGTAGGAGAAGTGGGATGAGAGTCGCATCGCGAAAAGTCGTGCGCTCCGTAACTGTGGCGAGGTGGAATGGAAATTGCTTCGCAAAGAAAGCCCTGTCATAACCCTCTAGCAAGGAGGGGATGAGATGAAATTCTTAACATATCTTGTCAAGGTCAATGTCCTGAATAATCTCCAGAACATTTCAGTTGACAATCATTGTTTATTAAAAAGTTATCAAATTCATCATAAAATCAATTTATAATTATTAAATAGAACATTGATTATAGAATCCTTTTATTATTTTTTTCCATGTTCCTTACAAAAAGTGCTTTTAAATATAACTTCTATCTTGAGAAGTCACAGTTATCGTAATCGCCCTTACAATTTGAAAAAATTCATTTATCTCGACAACTGTAATTCGTACAAGATTTAATAAAAAACGATTTTGTAGGAAATTTCAAAACTTGTCAATTTGATGATAAATACTTTTTACGTAAAAGCCGAATTCATGATATTTACATAAATCGTTAAAAAATAAGTTTTGTTAAAAGGATATGTATAAAAGGAAACATTCTTAAAATCGTATCTCAAAAAATATTGATCATACGAGGATGAATAGAAAACGATTTTGTAAGGATAATAATCTTCCACCTTTATAAGAGTTATTGTACGTAATAATAGTTAATTCTGAGATATTTACGAAAAAAGTTTCAATTGTTGAAATAATCGAAAGTACAATATTCTTAAAAAAATTCTATCATGGAAAGTATATTGGAAAGTTGATCACCTTAAAAATAAACGAAATTGTTTCTAATTTTATCAACTTTTCTTTTGATAATGATTTTTGTTCCGATAAAATAAATATCTTCTATTAGATATTTTTGAAAAATCGCATTTTTTATTATTTTTTTGAAGATGAAAGATATTTTCAAAGTTCGTTGGGAGTTAGGATTTTTAATATATTGTATAATACGTCATTTCGAACAAATTCCTGCAAACATATCTTTTATGACAATTTTGCCTCCAAAAAAATTTAATACTCCTGGGCCAAGTACGTATACCAAATTTTCTGATATTTATTTAACATGGAAGAGATTATATCAGAGTAAATGAATTGTACAGTTCGAAATTTTGTTTTAATTAATCTCTGATTAACATGTCAAAGTATGATAAAAATAAAAGTTTCGAGAATTGAAATAGATAGAAATGAATTCGTGTGCTCATTACTGAATCCAAAATTCTGATTTTTCGGATAATGAGTACCTATTACGCTGCTTATTATTTCTATTTCCACTTTGCTACAATGTATATACACAAAACACTAGGTATTGACTTTCATATTATTCGTTCGAGGGCAGATAACATATAGAGAGAAGAAGTGTCGACTAGAGTGCTAATTAAAATTGTGCCCAATCTAATGGAAAGAAAGGTGGAACATATAAAAATCTTATTTTAAGTTCTCCGATCGGATCGTTATATGTGTCTATAATTTCTGGTTTCTTGTACGTTGATATGATGTCAGAGGCGGAGCGTACAACTGAAGGCAAGAAATATCTCGAGCCGCCTGATAAATCGGAGTATGACAAGGCCGAATATAGGTGAGACAGGGATGAAGATTTTGCAAAAAAGACGATTTCAATTGAAATATTCGTGAGACGTATTATTTAGTGCAATGATAATCTTTTAAGAGAAATGTTACAATGTACTTTCTACAAAGAAAAATTAAGTGTTTTTATATGATCCTCAGTAATTCCTCATCTTATTGTTATTTGTTTTGTCTTTCAAATTTAGAGTCGTTAGACTACAAAATGGTTTAACAGCTTTGTTAATATCTGGATTGGAAGGAGCGAATTATGATGATATGAACTATAACGATCTTGAAAAAAGTAGTTCTTCGAAACGAGAAATACCAAAGGTATAAGTAAGACAATTTAAGAAGGTATAAGTAAGACAATTAGCATTTTACATTTCTATCGTATTATCTTTTTACATAATCTGTTACTAAAATTTTATTGAGATTATAATATCGGAGAGGGATTTATGAAATCATAAAAAATAATCTAGCTCTTTAAAATTATGTTCAGAAGTGCATAATTAATGCAATTGTATCCATCTATCTTTATCGTTCATCAAACATGAAAAGATAAAATGTCGCAATGGCACTAATAATATATTCATCGTACAGTCAGACTTGATGTTATCAGATATATCTGATATCTCTATTCAAAAAACGTGATTCCTCTAGTATTTGTAAATGAGTTGTCATTGATTCGTTTCGAAATGTGTAAACTGTTCACGAATAATTACCTACTACTGTTTGTGCTTGATCAATTTAACATGTATGCAACGCATGATATGTATAGGTGTATGTATATATATATATATATATAA